TTTCCATTTTTGGAGATGGGTCCCTTATATACATTTACTTCTATATATGAAATGCATAACCAATCAGAAGCTCAGAATGTCCCCCTAGTGGCTTTCACAGCCATTTTAATGTGTTTGTATGCCATTTTTTTCTTTTGGACCAATATTTCAAAGAGGTAGGATAAAGACATTTATTCTACTCAAAATTTCATATTTTTTAAAACTGAAATACAGCTTAGTTACTTAGCTTGATAAATCATAGTTGAATTCTATGGTATTGATATAGTATTTTATGATTTTTTTGGTAATTCAACTGTAGATATAAAAACTAAAAAAAATATTTTGTTTCATATCCTCCACATGCAAAATTATAACAGGCTTAGCAACACTAAGAATGAAGCTATAAACAAATGCTTTTACAGAAATCTAAATTGATCACTTTCCTAGAAGATGGGAAGAATTTTCATTAAATATATCTTTAGGTACCATTACAAAAACTTCTTAAGGGTGAAGTTTTCAATCCTGATAATATTTATTCTTAAAACACTGAATAAATTTATCATATTTTGGAATGGATTTTTATCTGATAGTATTGTACAGTTTAATACAAAGGAAACTCCTGATGATGATTAAAAGAGGGCATATCTGAGAACACACAGCCATACTAAAAGAAGTCGTCTTTTACAAAAAGTGTTGAAATCTATTTTCAGAAATTACAGACATCTGAAAGTTGACATTTAATGAATTGTTCTCATTATGATTTCAGAGCTTTATTCTATTAGAACAGTATGTGTATTTTTTATAGGACATTTGCTCATTTTAATGAAGGCACATAAGCATTTTTCTAGTGGCAAGAATTATTCTATTCATGAGGTACTATTTTAAGCATTGAAAAATGGTATTAATAATGTCCTGAAGTGATGGTAATATGTAATACAATACTCGGACAACAACTTGAGGGTATTCAAGAATTTGACAATCAGGCCAAATAGAGGTCATGGTATGCAATACTGATCAAAGATAGCACTACTACAGACCAGAAATGTAGTTTTAATTTTTATAAAGTTTAACATATGACATTAACACTCTAAGTAATTAACAAAATTTATAAAGCTTACACCAGTCAAAACAAGAAATTACCAAAATGCTGAAGAAAAATCATCCTTTCCAAAAATCACAAACAGCAGTGAAAGATGCCCATGAACATTTCAGAAAAAGAAGATAAATGTACATCATGAGATCAAATCAAAAGGATTGATTTTACCAAATCCAACAAAATAACCTATACCTTCAACACACAAAAACAATGGTTTCTTTAATATTCTGAAAACAAAACTCAGCTTCCCTCAAGTAACTGAAAATTAATCATAAACCTAAACATTTCACTTTTCTGTGATGCTTCCTTAGATGGTAATGGATAAAAAAAACAGAATGTATGTTGACTTTTAAATAGTTTAAACAGAAGTCACATGTGATAGAGAGCATTCAAAGGCATCCTTTATAAATGTGTTACATTTGTGTGTTTTTAATAGTAATGCTTCCTTAGTTTTTCTTTTTTGTACATTTTATTCTGTAGTTTCTTTAGCCCACAATAAACCAATTTGGCATGTCATAGCAACGGTATGACTATTCACAGACAGGCAGTGACATAACTACATATCAAAACAATAAATATATAAAAAAAAAGTATTCTGTGCCCAATTAGTTCAGTTACTATATTACAAAATACACAAAGCATTTGGAATAAACTATACCTTGTTATGCATAAGATTATTATTATTATTTGAGGAGCCATGAATAAAAGCAACACAAATATGAATGCTAGAGCTGCCTACTTTCAAACTGGTGCAATTGTGTGTTAACTTAGTACCTATATTTCAGCTTATATATTTAGATTATCAAATTTAATGGCACATCATAAATGTCCAAATTCAATTTTAACTTTAGTCTTATTCTGATTCTCTAAGTTATTACAGTAGATCCTCCAGTGGCATGCTATTGCTATTTTCATGCTTTCTGTCCACCATATTTGACCATACATATAAACAGTCCTTGAACTGGCTTCATATATTAATCTTTCTTAAAATATTCAGATGTTTGTTTCTGGAACTGCTTGTATGTGTTAATGAAGAAAATATGGCAACCCACTGGTACATGAAATCAAGCCTTCCCAATATAAGTTTAAGTGTTGTTCACCAAAATATATTTTGTATGTTTTGAAATACTGATAAAATAGTCTTATATTACTGTATAAAGTTATATGATATGAAGTATTTAACATATAATTGCAACTTTGTGAATGCCATATTTCATATGCCTACTAAGCCGCTGTAAAGAGTTGAATGCAATTATGTATCTATGTCATTTGCAATAATAAACACCAACATGGCAGTTACCATATCACAGAAATTTTTAATAAGGAAAAAAATTATTGAATTACATTTTATAAAAGCTAGATTTTCAAAGTTCAATTTGGATTTTGTTTCAACACAACAATGTTAAAGTTTTGGAGATACTAGGTAAACAGTGTGCACTTTTACATGCTGTTAAATCTTTACTGGTCAAAGATTTAACTTTTTTACAATAGGATTCACTCAATTTCTAATTGATATGTAGCCACAAGTAATATGAAATGCTCTTTTTATGCTTTATACAAATTCACTATTGACTTAGAAGTTTTATAAATTTAGAATTTTTGTGAAGTTCCTAACAATATGGAATCCTGTAGTTTCTTTGTTGTGAACATTTATCAGTTTTACAGCTTATTTTTTAACTGGAATCATTGCAAAGATAAAAGGTTCTTCTGATAAAAAAACAAAACAAATCAAATAAGTCTGGTGTTTAGAACAATGTTTCAACACCAACTTGATTGTCATAGTTGCATAAAGATGGAAAGTCAACCACCTTTCCTAGAATTTGTACTTAATAATGACTCTCAGTTTTATTCATGTGCCTAACAATTCTTATATCTATTTTCTGTTATGTTCCTATATTTATTAGATATTATCAGTAATAACTTACAAGTTAACATTTTCCTAAATTGGAAATGTATTTCCAATAATACTTAC